GCGCAACTTTGTTGATATCTGTAACATCTAAATTTACATTATCACTATAACATATACTCTACGTGTATTTGGTTGCCCATTCTTAAAAAAGTGCTCTAATCTAAGGCCTACGTCCATGTCTTATTTCGCATAGTTTCAAGCAATGACTCATTCGCGTTTCTCGTGGTAAGGACTATAACACAGTTCTTTGTTAATAATGCTAGAGTAGAAAAAAGATTTCCCTTCCACTTGTTCAATTATTAAAATATTATCCGAAATCTGGATATGGGATAGGATATGGGAGCGCCCTTGTTCCTGTTTTATCTTTATGAGGTTTTTAAAGATTTAAGTTAAAATTGGGATGTAAAGCGGTAGTGATGCGTAATACATGACATCGTACCCAATTGATGTCAAGGCTCTCCTATCCAATCCCGACTCTCACCGCCTAGTTGGTGCTCTCTGGCAACCTGACCAACCTTGCGGAAGATTACAGCAACCAACCTCGGTAGAAAGCTGGGTCAGGAATAATGAAAGCGGGAGAAATATATAATACCAAGTATAATAGACCAAGTAATGACGTATAACTGTTTTGGGGTGGAAACGTCTAGCAACAGGCGGCTGATGGATGAAGTGAGGAATCAGGCAAAGAAGACAGCGAGAATATCAGGTTACCTAATAGATATAATATGGCGTAGAAAACAACATTCTGTACTCACATGTGCTGCCGAGACTGCAGCTGAAACGTCTGACACAAAAGCCATAATGATGACTACAGAAATGAGAACCTTAAAAGGTACAAAAGGCATTACAATCCTAGACAAAGTACGAAATATGAGAGATCTGAGAAGACGTGATGAGATGACAGAGAGCGTAACGTGAAGAAATTTGGGATACGGAGATTCCAAGTTTAACTAGTTACTTGCCAACGTTCACAATGTTGACAGATTTGCCGTTTTTAAGAGATTGTTAATCACTTATCATTTTTAAAAAATCAAAGAAAAAAAGTCAAGATATAAATAAAGGCATAAAACAAGGGGACGTCATCATCAATCGTCGGTGTCAAGTCGATTCAGGTCAATCATCCTCAGGCACATAAAACAAGTTGTCGTCGTCGCGAGGTCCATCGCGATGTTACTTCAAGAGAGAAGAGAAACCACAAACGAAGATGATGGGTTCAGCCCAGCGATAAGCAAGAAAAAACGAAAAATACTACAAGAAGATCTAGAAATCGAAACAAGCAACAGATATGCCCAACTGGGCGACCACGAAGAAGACAACATGGAAGAAGAAGAACCGACACAACAAACAGAAAAAAAAAAATTGGCAACAGCCGTCGCAATAAAGGAACTGAGAGTAGCATCGTTAGTTCTAACGCAAAAAAGAAATGGAATCACGTGAGCCAACTCATGAATAACAAGAAAATAAACTACGTAAAAGCAAAACTGGTCGCACAGGGAATAAACATAGAACCCACAACCGACGATGATTACAGACAGCTCAATAAACTATTAGAAGATGAGCAAATTCAGTTCTACACATACGACTTAAGGTCAGAAAAAAAGGTGAAGATAGTAATTAGGGGAGTCATGCACGACACGACCCTAGAGGAAGCAGAAATATACCTAATGGCACAAGGATACCCAATAACAAAAGTTACCCGCATGAATGGCAAACAGGGTAAACCAGCGCCAATGATTTTTGTCGAAATAAACAAAGAGTACCGCTCTATCTACAACATCATTAAGGTATGCGGAATGGCAGTCAATGTAGAATTGTTACGAACAAAAACAGAGATCATACGGTGCCATTGGTGTCAAGTTTTTGGACACGCACAGAAAAACTGCAACGGCGAATTCAAGTGCACGAAGTGTGGTCAAAGCCATATGACGAAGGACTGCACCAAACCCAAAACTAGTGCTCCGCGATTCGCCAACTGCGGCGATGAACATCTATCCACTTCAATACGATGTGCAAAAAACTCGAACATCCCAAACTTAAAAAAAACTGTCAACACGCACAAGCCAGAGAACAACTTCTGGAACAAGAGAGAGGAGGCCCGTAGAAAGGAAGTGCTCCATAACGAAAGAAATGATGAAAATACGAAACGAAAAGAAACTGAAACAAACGATGACAAAGAACACAACGACAACAACACAAACAATATCACAGACGAACTTAAAAGAACACTGGGCGAGATGTACGCTGAATTTGTCTTCACAAATCCTATAGAAAAACAAATGAAAACATTCTCCGTAAAGACAAAGAAAATAATTTAAATATTCAACCATTAATGAGAGACAACAAATATATAGAATCTTTAAAAATAGCATTCTGGAACGAAAAAGCATGAGTCTGAAAAAAAACGAAACGACTCTCTTCCTGGAAGAACACAAAATTGACATATTACTGGTCTCCGAGACATCACTGAAGCCTTGCAACCGATTCAACATACAAAACTACAAAGTCTATCGAAGGGATCGACCTGACGGAAGAAAAGGAAGAGGCACAGCACTCATCGTCTCAAATCAAATCAAACACGAAGATCAATCAATTAGGGGTAGGAAATATATAATTTTTTCTAACTTGCTACGAAACCAGCTATGTTTTTGCTCAAGGTCACGGTATTTTGGAACGGTATTTTTGTGTCGCGACCATTCCTGGAGCGCGACACGATTATGAGCGGTATTCCCATCACTAATGATTTCTTGTTTTATTTTATCTCCTTTGATGAATCAATTTGATCACAACGCATGCCAGAAAAAAGAATTACATTTCTTTATTCTTTGGTACATAGAAAACAAGAGTGGATTTTTTCCAAATTATGGTTTAAAACGCGTCATTTTCAATAAAAAAATAAAGCCATACAAAATAATACAATACTTACCTAGTTTATTTTTTGAAATAAGCAAATACATACTTTTTTGTAATAGCAACTAAAGATTTCTCATCCATCCATTTAACGAGATCCATAATTTTATAAGGATCAACATCCATAGGATAAATTTTCTCTTCCATGTAATCAATTTCAACATTACAAAAACATGTGGATACGTGGACAAATGCCTAAAATATTTTTTTAAAACAATATCTCCATATTACACCTTAATAATACTTACTTGTAATATTTTCATATGCATGCATAATTTAAATAGTTGATAGGTTGATGTAGTATTAGTTATTACGGCTTCTTTTAGCGGAAGATTCATACGAATAGAAGCGGCAACATGAAATACAATCGATACCTCCTCAATTAACTTTTCCTTATCGATTTCGGACAGACTCAAATTTTCCATCATAAAATCGCCGCTTATTGCCTCGATTTTATCGTAAGCTTTTTCGTTCACGTTATGAAATGTAAATACCTTTAAAATTTAATATTTTTTAACTTGTTACATTAAATGGAAATTAATAACTTACGATGCCATTGGTTAATTGCTTAACTCTTTCTTGAGGAGTACATCCTTTTTTGGAACGTATAAGAATGTAGATTTTTTTTATATCCGGGAAACTTCGCACTAACTTTTCCAGCAAAACTTTACCCATGTATCCAGTTGCGCCGGTTATTAAAACCGTTTTTCCGGCATAAAATTCAGTAATTGGACTCATTTTGCGGAAATGACAATCTATAAAAGAAAGTAATAAGAGAATGAAGGAAGTTGCAATGTTTTGAACTCTTTATATGAATATTTGGATATAGAAATGTATTTATGCATATTTTAATTACGTATGTAACGAATAAATTATGGGAACAATGGCAATGTTGACAATGTATGACTCGCAATTTTGAAGGATGTTAAGTATTTTATCCTTAACATTAACATCCTTAACACAGAAGGTCCTTAACATTCACCAAATTTGGTTTGTAATGTACTAGGAATTATAATTGTACTAGGAATGTAAAAATGACATATTTTTACTACATAAAAATTTTTCGTATCTCACTTTAGACTTCATCATTTTACAAAATAATTGAATTTTTAAAAAATAAAATATTTGTTGACAAATAAACATCTTTTTGACTACCTAGCAACCAACTTGTATAATGACTATGACTTTTACGGAAACAGTGACAAATGAATTTTTGATTTATTAATGCTCGCATTAAAGTCATAATAATTCATCAAAATGCGAAGGTCAAAATGGTCGCCTGAAACCGATAAACTATTGAACAAACTTCGTTATTATGACACATTAAAGCCTTTGATGTTTTAAAATCCTCGCTCTTCCAGCTCGGATTTCATCCTAAGATCTGCGGCTGTAATCATAATCATAATCTTTATTGTGCTATAAGATAGTTCTCTTACACTCGTCAGTTCAATTTACAGGTTCACATTTACTTACTAAGAAATATCAATATTACATTTTAAAAATGCATCGACGGAATAAAACGCATTCGAAGCCAAGAAATGTGTCAGTTTACGTTTCATGGTAAGAAACGGAAGACTTCTGATATTCAACAGCAACTTATTAAATAGCTGTTGACACATGTATGTTGGACCCCGCTGCGTCATACTCAATCTACACATATCAACATACACATTACAACGATTACGAGTTGCGTATTTGTGAACATCAGCATGATTTAAAAGCTCGTCGAAATTGTACAGAGCATACAATATACAATTTAGTATGTAAATAGATGGCAGGGTTAGAACGCCTAAACGCACGAAGATGTGTCGACAGTCCTCACTGTATCCCAGGCCTCCCACAACTCTTAGGGCCCTACGCTGTAAGTTAAAAACCCGTTTGCTAGCGGGAGTGTTTCCCCACGCTAAAATGGCGTAAGATATATGGGTTTGTATAAGCGTTTGTATAATTATGATGTTATACGCCGTTTTGAGCCATGTTTGAACTTTCTATCACTTTTGGTTCCGGTAATTCTGGCGACGATATATGTGATATTCAGATGGTAAATATTATTTTGGAGCATGTT